AGAGGGGAGGGAAGAGGGGGCAGCCGCTCTGAGGCAGCCACGCTCCTGAACCTGGCGGCCTGGGGCAGCAGGAGGGCCGGGGAGGTGGCTGGAGGGTGCCCATCCCTGGCAGTTCTGGAGGCTGGGAGTCTGAGGTCAGGGTTTCGGGCCCCCTCTCTCTGCCCAGCCTATGGAAAGATCCTTCCTCGTCATTTTTCGCTTCTGTTGTTGTTAGCTGTCAGGAGTTGACCCTAGCTCACAGCAACCCCAGGTGTCATCGGGCAGAACTGCCCCATAGGGTTTCCTGGCTGTAATCGTCACAGAAGGTCTCTCCTTTCAGGGCCGCTGAGTGGGTTCGAACTGCCAACCTTGAGGTTAGCAGCTGATGGCAAATTGCTTGCAGCACGCAGGCTCCTTAACCCCTGCAGCTGTGGGTGTCTCTTGGTGTCAGTGGCTTGCACCCGGGTCTTCACACACTGTCTGTTCTTCATAAGTCACCACCAGGGAGGAACTAGGACTTAGCTGATCATGCCTCCAAAAAAAGACCCCATTCCCCAGACAAACGGCTTCAGGGTTTGGGTCCTCAGCCTACTTTTGGGAGACACAGTTCAAGCCGGAGGACCCGGGCACAGCCCTGGAGGCCGAGGCCCTGCTGGGCCAGCCCGGGGTGACCTGCCCTCCCTCTTCCCCAGGCCTTCCTGTGCTTCGCGCTGGTGTTCTGCATCCTGGTGCAGGTGGCCTTCTGGAGGTTCCACAACCCCACCCAGGTGAGCGCCTCCCTGCCCCCACCCCGCACAGGGGGCCCCCCCCGAGCTGCATGGGGGGCCGGAGGTCTGGGAGCTCATCCGCCCACCTGTTACTGGGGAGAGACGGAGTGAGGGTGTGGGGGGTAGGTGCACCTGTGGGGTCAGGCACTGGCTGGGCACGAGTGGGGAGGGGCTGCAGAGGCCGGAGGGTGGGTGCGGCTGGGTGCTGTCCTGGGCTGGGAGGCGCAGCTCCCTGGGGAAGGAGGCGGCGTTGCTGGGAATCCACTGGACTCCCTGAGCTCCTCAGCCCATCCCTCGTCCTGGGAGCCAGCGTGCAGGAACGGCGGGGGGAGGGCAGGCCCGGGCTGGGTGAGGGACTGAGTCCAGCCAGGGAGGAGTGTGTCCAGGAAATGTGCTGACCAAGGCCTGGCAGGAGGAGGGGGCCACAGGGCAAGGGCACGGGGTGTCCCAGCCTCACTCACAGGATGGCAGCTGTGCCTGGTCTTGGTCGCCTAGATGCTGACCTGCCAGGCGGGGACGGCTGACCCCCAGGACCGCATGGGGGCATCCAGGGACACTGGCGTTTCCATCTGGGGTGACTGGGGTGATGTGAGGGGAGGGCTGGGTCCCTGCAGGAGGGAAGTCATTCATTCATTCCTTTTTCAGCTAAGCCTCACTGAGAGCTGGCCGAGTCTTGGTTGTGTCTGGCATCGAAAGCAGCCCAGTGAGCCTGAGAGAGGCCAGGCTCTGTCTGCAGGGCAGACGCCAGCCAGGGACCGCCAGCTTCTCCCATTGCCTCTTCCCCGTCCCGGCCCAGGCGTCACCCCAAAATGCCCACCTTCCCCTTGTCATGTGACTGAGGACAGTGCCTTGACCTGGGAGGGAATGGAGTCCCTGCCGGTCGCTGGTCCCTGGAGAGGCAAGCCGGTGACCAGCCTCAGGCTGCTTTTCCCCAAGGAGGGGTCTTCTGACACATTCAAGTCTGGCCCTTGTGTGGGTGACCCCAGTAAAGACAGCTGCCAGTCTAGCTGCCCTGGGACCCCCACCCTGGCCCAACCCTCCCTGCTCAGGCACTCTCTCTGTGTTTACAGCTGAGCCTGGGATCCCCAGCTGGGAGGGAAGGGGCCCTAGTGGGGACCAAAGGACAGAGGTGGCTGGGCCAGCTCTTATGGACAGAGGTAGGGAGAGCCCTGGCTCCCACGTGGGTTTCCTCTGGCCCTGACCAGCCCCCCTCCCAGCCCCTCCCAGCCAGTCGTCCTGGCCTGGCCCACAGTGGTCTTGGGGCCCATGCCTGACCCCGGGCGGGAGGCAGGTTCTTCCCCAAGCCTGTGGTCTGGTGGGTGCCATCTGCCCCCTCCCCAGCTGCAGGAGGGATGGGTGGCCTGTGCGCATGCCGGCTGTGTAAGTCCAGGTGCTGGGATTGGAGACTGAGTCAGCCTCCCAGTGGTGGGCCCTTGGGGTCCTTGTCTATCTCCCCAGGCCTAGGTGTCCTTGACCGTGAGGGGAGTATGCAGGCCCTGCCCTAGGGGCTGCTTTAATGTGAGAGCAGCCAGTGGCCAAGGGCTTCCGGCCCAGCCCGCTGCTCACCGGCCCAGCCTGCTGCTCACTGTGCTGTTGGCCCTGGGACAAGGGGTCCTTTGGAGCTGACTCCAGTTTGGAGGAGACAATGTTTGGTGCCAGGTGGCAGGGGAGGTGGGACGAGGTGTCTGCATACGCCCCCTAGGGCCACGGGCCAGGGCCCACCCTCAAAGCCCCTCAGCCAGGGAGCCAGCCCTGAGCGAACAGTCTGTCAGCCTCAGGTCCCTGGTTTCGCAAGGTCCCTGAAGCAGCCCTGCGTGGCAAAGGCCAAGGCAGGCTGCCTGGGCAGAAGCTGGAGTGCAGAGCCTGGAGCCCCACCTCATTTCCCCTCGACGCCCCCACAGCAGGGTCCCCTAAGATGTCCTAGAGTGTCATGTGAGGATATTCTGGGGCAACTGCTGCAGAGAGGCCACAGAACAGGGAAGAAAAGGATCCGCCAGGCCCAGGACCCCGCCGCCCCCGGCCCAGGCCACCCCCAGGCCCCAGGTTTTCTGCCTCAACCGCTGGGCCGAGCTGGCGATGGACGCAGGGACCAGGCCGTGGGCATCCAGCGGCCCCCTGTTCATTACTGTCTTGCTGCAGCCGGGTCTCGACCACAGCCGTCGCTGGTCCTCAGGCTTGCCTGCTCAGGCAAAGGCCACCTTCCTGAGTAGCTTGTAGCCGGGAGGCGTGCAGGGTGGGGGCCTGGGGAGGAACCCCCTGTTCTCCCAGCCTCTCTAAGCTGGCACCACCCCCAGGCCCTCCCTCCCTGACTTCCTGCCAGCCACCTTGTGGGCAGACGTAGGCAGAGCTGCAGGTGGCCTTTAGGCACTCCCCATCCACACCTGCTTCCAACAGTCCCTGGGGCCCACCTATGCTACCTTTCCTCCTGATGAGGCTGAATGAACACCAGCCACCAGCAGGGCACACCCAGGGTGTCAGGGCCTGGAAACCCCGAGACCTCCTGGCCCACTCCCAGTTCTCTTGTAGGACCTAGTGGGGGCAGCTGAGGGTGGCTATGAGGGGCCCAGGCCCAGGGTAGGGGCTCCAGTCTGGCCCTCCGTATTGCCCAGCGGGGGATCCTGGGCTTTGCTGAACTCTGCGTCCTGTCACCCCGCCTCCAAGGGTGTGGGGGAGACACCCAGCCGAGAGTGCAGAGGGAGTGTGGGGTCACCTGATCTTATGATTAATGAGACCCCTTGCCCAGAGGCAGGGTACCGTGCGCCTCCCTGGCCTGGGTGGCAGAGGAGGGGAAGGGAAGACACTGTGGAGCTGGCGTGCAGGTGGGGAATGCACCGGGGTGGGGATTCGGAGCTGGCCTCTCTGCCGTGGTCACGTGGGCCCCCACCCTCATGCCCTCTAGGACCTCCTTTCATGGGGGCAGCACCGCAGGCTTTAGTCTTTACGCTGTGGGCTGGCAGGCCCTATAACCCCATTCTATATGGAGTATGAGAGAAGGCCGCTAGCCCAGGCCCTCCCACAGCTTGGCCAGCCGGGCCCTTGGCCGCCAGCCCAGGGCACTGCCCACCTCCCAGTGGGTGGGAGGAAGAGACTGGCGGAGTTGGGATGAGAAACTAGAGCTGTGTCCCGACTCTGCTAACCACTCTGAGGATTAACTCCTGCCAGGAACAATGCTGGGGTGGACCATCCATGTGGCCCCGAGAGACCCCAGGACTTTGGGAGGGCGGGCCTATCAGTCCCCAGGCTGCTGACTGGGCCCCAGCGCCAGTGGGAACTGGCCGGGGGGGGGGGCTCTCCACCTTTTGGGAGGGAGGTGTGAGTTCCTGGGTGGGCTGGGTCATCAGCTCCTCCCTCCCCAGCCCTTTGGGGCAGCCCCCGAGCCCCCATTACTGTATGGGCATGGGGTGGGGGAAGAAGGAGAAGAAGGGGTCAGGGATCTGAGGTGGGAAGGGAGGCATCAGAGAGTTGGGGGGCGGGGGCTAGTCTCAGGACAGGGAGCTCAATAGGGCCTCATCCCATGTTGGCCGAATGACCCCTGGAGAAGGCAAGGGGCCTTCCTGGAGGAAGGGAGACTCCAGCTTGTCTCTGAAGGGGTAACTTGGCAGGGGGAGGGCCTTGCTGCTGGGGTGGGAGTAACATGAGCAGGGCATGGAAGGGGGGCTGGGCGAGGGGAGAAACAGGTGGGGGCAGCAAAGGCCAGGGCACAGCTCAGCCAGGCCCCTCTGTCCTCATGGCCAGCCCCCAAGGCGCCTGCCTGTGCAGGGCTGGCCCTGGTGCCACAGCGTCCCTGGCCAGGGGCCCAGCTGCCCAGGCTTTTGGGAACACAGCTGGGGAGTCTCTGGGGGAGACTGAGAGGGTCGCTGGGACCCCTGGCTGCTCCTGGGCTGCACACCACCATTGCCAGATCCGTAGTAGGAGACATGGGGCGGACAGCAGGGCTGGGGGCTCAGAGTCACCCTCAGGGCTCTCCGGAGCCAGGGGGCTGCAGGGACAGCCCCTCGGAGGGCGGCCAGCTCAGCGGCTCTCCCACCTGCCCTGCTTTCTGAGCAGGTGGAAGATGCCGTGCTGGACACATATGACCTGGTGTACGAGCAGGCGGTCCGCAGCCCGGCTAGCACCCAGGGCCAGGAGCTGGCAGCCATCCAGGACACGGTGTGTTGCAGGCAGGGGCGGGAGGAGGGGAGCGGAAGTGTGATGGGAGATGGACAAGGAGCACGATGGGGGCGGGGAGGGGAGCACGGGGAGGGATCGGGGGCCCACCAGCCTCTATGCCCTGACCCAGAGGACGGACGGGCAGGGTAGCCGTGCACACACCCCCAGGCCCAGGGCCAGACTCGAAACAGGGTCCCAGGACACAGGCACCTTGTGGACAGGACAGAAGGTCAGAGGCCTCTTCCCTGTCCTGGGCAGGGCCCAGTGCCGAAGGAGAGTGTTCGGGAGGAAGGCGCGCAATCAGGCTCCGGACGGTCCCAGCCCGGGGAACACTGTGGAGCAGGCTCTGCACTGCGCCCAGGGCTGGGAGTCGGGCCCCACAGTCATCACTGGGCTGTGTGTGTCTGTCTGGTTCTCACTAGGTGAGCGGCACCATGGGGCTGGGTGGGCTTACTGGGCCCTTGTACGGGGAAGGCCCCAGGCAGACAGGGGTGGGACATCACTGCTCTGCTGCCCAGAGCCTTCCCTGAGCCCAGCCCTGTCTCCAGCTGGCCTCCACCAGCTGGGGCTCCCTGCTCCCTGCCTCAGTTTCCAAACCACCTGTCCCCCTGCGGGGGTCTCGGTGCCAACCCCCCCCCCCCGCCCGTGTGTCCTTGCAGTTACAGTGCTGCGGAAAGCGCTCTCCTTTCGGGCGAATGCACAGCGAAGAGGCAGGGCTGTGTCCGGGGGAGCTGGCCGGGAGAGAGGTGAGGCCGGTATGGGGAGGGGCAGAGGGGATGGCAGGGAGACAGGGGCAGCTGGGCACCCCGGGGCCTCACCCAAGACCCAGGAATGTCCCCCACTGTGCGTCTCCCCAGCAAGGGGATTGGAGGAGGACCCAGAGGGGTCTGGAGAGAGAGGTTATTGTGTGTGACGTGCCTGGGGCACCGGGCTGGGTCCGAAAGCCCCACAGCCCTTTGCTTACTCCTTCCCACAAGCCCAGCTCAGCTTCCTAAGGCCGGGCTGGGGAGCCTGCCGACTTAAGCCTCACCCTCACTCTCCAAAGCCTCCTGAGACACAGAAGCAGGAGGGAGCCAGAGGGTGTTTGATGGCCCCCACAGCAGGGGTGGTCAGTGCTGCCTGGGGGGAGGGCAGGCATCCCACGGATGCGGTTGGGAGTCCCAGGAGGGAACAAGGAGCTGGGGGGTCAGCAGGGCAGAAGGTGCTGTGAGGTGTTGGGGTGGAACAAAGGCAGGGACATACATACCTTCTTCCTGAGACAGCTGGGCCCTCCCCTCCTCCCACCTCCTCTCCCACCCACCTACCCGGCTGGCCAAGGCCGCCTCTCCTCCCCCTGCTGTCCTGGAAACAAACCTCTCGGTCTCTCGGTCTCTCTGCAAGAGGCCACTGGCATCCCTCCAAGAACAGGCCGGAGGGACGCGCACAGCTCGTCAGGCCAAGATGGAGGCAGCCAGTACAGGGGTGTGATGGGGGGGCCTGGGCTGGGAGGGGCTGAGAGCCAGGAGGGCCTGCTCTGTGGCACCCAGGGGTCCTCCATCACAGGGCGTGAGCTCCATTTTGTGCACCCCCGGGATGGAAGGGGGTGATGGGGCACAGGAGGGTGGCGTGAATTCTGGCTGCCCTAGAACTTGAACTGGAGGGACACCAGCCCCAGTGTCCATCTGTCTGTCTGTCCCCAGTCTGCCTCCCAAGAGGAAGCGTGGTGTTCACTTCAAGTGTGGAGGGAAGGGGGGCTGGTCAGAGTCTGTTTTCCCACGGGAGCCCCCAGGCCGGCCCAGCCAGGCACTGCCCAAGACAGTGGCCAGCACTGTCCCCACCTGGGACAAAGCAGGGGGCCTGGTGCCCCCAGGAGGCAGGAGCCCGTATGTCCAAGGAGCAGCAGTAGGTCCCCATCCCAGGTGAGAGCCAGGGCTGGGGTGGAGGTGACAGAGAGGTGGAAGGGCTCAGGCCTGCAGGATGGACGGATGAATGGACGGATGGGGAGACACACAGGCCCCACGCCCTCAGAGGCAGGCCCGAGACTCCCGGACATGGCCGAGTCCTGCCTCATCCTGCTCCCAAAGGCCCATGTCCTCCCTGAAACCAGAGCCCACCTGAGCGTGGGTCAGAGACAGAAGCTGTGTGGACACCGGGACACAGGGTGCACCAGATACTCGAGGACCCCAGGATCCCTTCAGGCTGGCCTGTCCACCAGTGGTCTCCACAGCTGACACCCTCTTGCTAAGGCTGTGTCCTGGCCCTGGGGGAGCGCTGGGACCACCTGCCTGGGAACTAGATGTGTGGCCCACCACAGACACCTCAGGGAAAGCTGGGAGCTGGGCCTGGGGCGCCTGTCTGTGGTGTTTGTCCGGGATGGCTTTGTTGGGACTGCCCCATTCCGTCTTTCCCTCACCCCACATTTGGCCGGCCAGGCTGCCACGTACACCCTCTCTTCCCAGGACTGCCTGCAGGGGCTCAGGAGCTTCTTAAAGACACACCTGAGAGTTGCCACTGCCCTGGCCAGCCTCAGCCTCGTCCTCACGGTACCATTGCCCTCCCCATCTCCTTCCCCCTCCACCTCCATGCCCACATCCCAGAAGGGGAGGGCCGGTCAGAGGGAGGAGAAGGCCAGAGACCCAGGGAGGTGGCCTGGTGGGTGAGCTCCTTCCAAGCCCCATAGTGTCCAGCGGTCTCCGGGGGGTGGCAAGCCCCTCTCCCGGGGGGGATGCTCACCCCTCTCCTGGCCTCTGTGAGGCCCCCCTCCTAGGTGTACGCCCTGCTGCTCAGCTCCTTCCTTTGGGCGGCCATTCGCTCCGGCTGCAGCTTGGACCGCCGAGGCACATACACCCTGACACCGAGGTAGGCCCTGGCCCGCCCCACCCCCTGGGTTCCTGGCACCCAGGCCATCACCTACCAGGCAGCATCCACCCCTCCTGCCCGGATATACCCCTTCTTCACGTCTTCCAGCCCAGATGGGACCCCAGGGCCTAGAGGAGGCACTTTGTGGGTGTGTGGTCCCACTGAAGTGTGGTCAGGACAGCTGGGCAGGTACCAGTCTGCATGGCCTCCATTATGGCCCACATACGACACCTCTCAGCCACTGCCCTCAAGTCGATTCTGACTCCCAGTGTCCCTAGAGGACAGAGGAGAGCTGTCTCATAGGGTTTCCAAGCTGGCAAGCTTTCCTCCCATGGAGCCGCTGCGTGCGTTCAACTGCCTACCTTGCAGTTAGCAGCTGAGTGCTTAGCCACCACACCAGCAGGGAGCCTAAACTTACCTTTGCTCAGCTACAACTCCCCAGACGGCAGCCCGGGCCAAGGTCTCTGGTTCTGGGGGACACCAGTGCTCTTCACACACAGGGAGCCTAGGAAGACCCCAGCCAGCAGCCAAGGGGCCCTTCCTGGCCCTCCATGCTCTCCACCTAGCCACTCTGCCTCTGGGCATCCTGTGGGGGCCATCGGGGGAAGGGATGGGCACACAATCCCTTCTCCCTACTTCTCAGAGCCCGTCACCGACGGCCCCGGGAGCCCAGTGTCTCCAGATACTCCAAGGGTGGCCCCAACCTTCAGCACCATTCAGAAACACAGGCTCTTGATGACCGTCTGGGTCAAAGCGGACATGCCAGCAGCCCTGGGCTTTGTGAACACAACTGAGGTTCTCTTTCAAGACCTGTCCTGCCACCTGTCCATGCAGAGACGTAAAGGTCCTCCATCACACCGGACGTCCCACCACCTGTCAGCCCACAGACGTGAAGAAGCCCCATCAACCCTCACAGGAGCCCAAAGGCGAGCCCTCTGAGGGCTTTCTTGGGTGTCTGTGGTGGGACAAGGAAGGGAGACGACCCAGACACAGAAACAGGCTCCCTTTGAAATAAATGGATGAATAAGCAGCATTCTGAAGAGCTCTGGTGGCTAGTACCTAAGGCACTTGACTGCTAACCAGAAGGCTGGCAGTTCAAACCCACCAGCCACTCCTCGGAAGGAAGACTGGGCAATCTACTTCCATAGAGATACCACCTCAGAAACCCAAGATGGGGTCACTATGAGTTGACTCCAACTCAACGGCAGTGAGTTTGGTTTGGTTTTTGGAAGCATCATTCCCAGAATCCATGGGAACAAGCCTGGAAATGAGTGAGGACAGAGAGAGCTAGTCTGCAGGAGCTAACACCAGTGAAACTGGTGGGATCTCCGACTGACCCGCCGCCTTCGAGGCCACGGCGCGACACGTCTGCACTCGTTGTCTTGGGTGATGGCACACGACTGCAGGCTTAGCTCTACAGTTTGGGAGCTCACGGTTCTGTGGGTCAGAAGTCAGGCTCCGTGCAGTTTTCTGCTCCGAGACTCACGAAGCCTAAACCCGAGTGTGGGCTACACCTTGTCTCTGGGAGGCTCTGGGGAGGAACCCACTCACAGGTGCACAGAGTCAGCTCCGTGGTCTCAGCTACCTAGTGCCGCGTAACAGAAATACCACACACCGGGCTTCGACAAACACGTGACCTCCTCGCGGCTCAGGAGGCCAGCAGTCCCGAGGCCGTGTGCGGCTCTCGGGGTGCTCCTCTCACGCCCCTCTCAGCTTTGCCGTACCCCCAGCATTCCTCGCAGTTCCTGGGCTTGTGGACACGTCTGCCCCCTCCGTCCGTGGGCAGTTCCTCCTGGGCGTTCTGACTCGTCTCTGTGTCTGCGCTGCCCCTGGCACCCAGGGGACACTGTGAGAGCCGAAACCTGTGGGAGGCGGAGACTTGTCCCGGAAGGAAAGCACAATGCTCCCCTGAAACAGACGAAAGAAAAGTGGTGAGACGTTCGAGAACTAGGAAAACAAGGCTGGGCCGTGGGCTCCAGGCTCACGGCTTCACGGTGTCACTCTGGGCAATTAGGGTTCGGGCCCACCCCACACTGAATGGCTTCATCAACGTAACAGGAAAACCCAAACGCCCTTCCCTAATGGCAGACAGGTATCCCTTAGCATGACTTACTGTCTGTGGGGGTAAAGTCGGACCGCATACGCACCGTGGCCCCACAGGGATCCCGTGCAGTTCAGAGATCCCGACGGGCAACTGGAAGCTGGTGCAAGTGCTTCCCTGAGTGCGGAGAGCCGGAGGCGCAAGCTGTCTCCTTTGCTCTCTGGGTCCCCCCTCTGCCCCGGCACTGAAGTGGCTTGGGGAGGAGGGCCCAGTGCCCATCCAGGGCTGCCTGTCTCACTGCACTTGCCTCAGGCAGGGACTGTGTCAACATCACTGAACCGCTGAGGGGAATGTCCCCCAGGCGGTGCCCCACTCAGCCCAGGCGCCCTGCACGTCACACCCGGCCCATGGTGGTGGCCGCTGGGCTGTGCCGGCCATAAAAGGAGGACAGACGGCCAGGGGAGGAGGAAAAGTGGAGACGGAGGAGGGTAGGAGGGGCTGGCAGGGCTTAAAGCCCAAGGGGGAGAGGGGAGGAAGGCAGAGAGGAAGGAAGGGAGGGGCTGGCAGAGCAGCGGCTGGGAGGCACCCGGGGGCGGGCGGGGGCACTGGCCATAGCTCTCAGACACTGGGTGGCAACCAGGCAGGGCCGGCAGCCGTCCCGGGCCCACCCGGCAACTGTCCGGCCTGTCTGTCCTGTGTGTGAGATGCTGTTCACACAACGTCCAAATCCCATACCGTCCTGCTTCACAGACATACTGTGGACGGAAAGCAGCACCCACCTGTACATCCACAGGTGTAAGGGCTGAGACCACACACACACTGGGGGAACACAATTCAACCCCTAACACCTACGGTCACAGGACTAAAGTTCCCTTTCCATGCTGACCATCACCTGGGGTCATTCTTTGCTCCTGAAGACTGCAAGTGGGGCCTCCTCCACCTTCAAACCAGCAATGTGTCCAGTCCCGGTACCACAGCCAACCCCTTGGACTTTTCCTTCTGCCCCCGGCCAGAGGCAGCGCTGTGCATTTAGGGACTCAAGACTCCATCAGGTCCACCCGTGTGTCTGTCTTCAGGTCGCTGTGCCCTGTGACATAGCATCACCGTGGCAGTGACGTACCCACAGGCTCCAGGGGTGAGGGCAGGACATTTCGAGGCATCCCTTAGGAATTCTGCCCACCACAGACATTCAGGCCCCTTTTGTGGTGGGTCAGCGCCACTTAACCCTGAGTGTTTCATCACTCCCTCAAAATCCACAGTGCCGGGTGGGACACAACCTGACCTAGCCTAGGCCAGCACGCCCACGTGGCTGACAGGGGGCAGGACTGTCAGGCTCTTCTGAGTTCCACAGGTAGCAGGCTGGTCTCTAAATCGAGCACTGCTGCTGACAGACTGGGTGCCACTGTACTGGTGCCTGCGGGTCCTCCACAAGGGGAAGACCACGTGGTTGGGCCCGTGGGTGGCTTCCACACGTCACCATGTCCGCTTTGCTAAGGGCTCCACCGGGCACGTTCTGGGACACGGGGAAGAGGGGTTTGTCTGCCACAGGGTTGCTGTTGCTTGGCGCCGCTGTCGGCCCTGACTCACAGCCACCCTGTGAGCAACAGCAACAGCTCCTGGTCCTGCACCGTCCTCACTGTCATCGCTGTGAGCCGTTGGTGCAGCCACCGTGTCAGCCCACCTTGTTGAGGGTCCTCCTCTTTCCTGCTGACCCCCTACTTTGCCAAGCCAGGGAGCGGTCCCTTCTGACAACACGGCCGTGGGGGTTAAGGTTGTGTGGGCCGGGACTTTGAGTAGCTGGGCAGGTGGATGTAGTTGTTCCCCACAAGGAGACTGTAATCACCTCCATGGTAGAATCGGCTGTGAGCACCCAAGTAGTTGATTTTGGGGTGTGACCTGCTTCTAGGACATAAGGAGAAGCTTTGAGAAAGGTCTCGAGTTTCTTGGCACATCTAGATCCTGCATTTGGCCGAGCCATCAGTGACCTGCCATGTTGCCTGCTGATCTTGGGACTGTGCTGTTTTACCTGCCAACCTTGGGTACCTCGCCTCAGCAGCCAGCAGCTGCCTGAGTTAGGAGATGCCTCCAGCTGCATGGATAAGAGGCAGAGCTGACGCCCAAGGTCGAGGGGCCTTCACCCAGCCTCCAGAGCTGTACTCTGCAGTCAGACTCCCAGCCCCCTAAACTGCAAGAGAATAAAGTCCTTTTTGTTAAAGCCACCTGTGGTATTTCTGTCATAGCAGCACCAGAGGATCAAGACAGGGGCCAAAGTACGAGAGATTCACTCTGGCCATTCTCTTCAGGGGGGAGCATTCTGGCTATACTTCTTCCAGGACAGGTTTGCTTGTTCTTCTGGAAAGCCATGGTCTACCCAATATTCTTTGACATGGACGGGGTCACAAGGCCCTCACGAGAGTCCAGTTACAGCGTTTCACTTGATGACGGAGTGCTCCTGGGCTGACCCAGCTTCATGGTCCAGGGGACCAGATGACACCCAGTCCATGATGGGCAATAGGTCACGGCTAGTCACATAGACAGGGAAGCCAGACACTGTGTCTCTAAGGGAGCAGAGCCCCTTGCCAAGCAGAGGGTGGCTGTGCCTCACGTCTTGGACTGGCTCTGTGCTCTCCCGTGGGCCAGGGTGCTGCCAGAATCGGAGACCCTGGTATGACAACCAAGTGCCATGACCTGCCGCATGGAGCCCCAGGCTACCCGGACACCTTCTCTTGTTCTGGATCCTGCTCCAGACATTCAGAAGTGGTCTGGTCCCTCCCCAAGGCGCTCGGCCACGTCCTCACCAGTCAATGTCCAGTCAACCCCGTCTCCTGGCGGTCCCCTGGATGGCACAGTAGGACTTCACTCCATGGGGTCTTCAGTGGCTGAGTGTTCAGACAATTGTCAGGTCTTTCTTCCGAGGAACCTTGGGGTGGACTCGAACCCCCAGTCCTTTGGTGAGCAGCTGAGCATGTGCACCGTGTGCTCCACCCGGGACTCCACCTCCTTCTCTGGGGAAGGTAATCCCGGGTGCAGCCATTTGCCCTTTGCCATGGAGGTAGCCTCCCAAGTTCACTGTCCCCCAGAGGGGAACTTCACAGAGACAGCATGACCCTACATTTTCATAGGGTTTCCTGCCCATGCTCTGCTATGCGTGGCATGTAACCGAGCAATGACCCCATCCTCTCTCCACATCCCCTCCTCACAGTGTTCTGTGGATGGGGACGGGTCAAGGTCTCTGTGGACAACAGATGGGCAGGTGCCAGTGTTCATGCGATCTGGAAGCAAGGCGATAGGACTGTGCCTCCCAGGGGGCCTCTGCGTTCTCAGCAGCCTGAACAGGTTGGAAACAAAGGCCTCACTGGCCCAAGCCCAATGGATTGTTCCCATGAGGATCAGAATCAACGGCTGCAACCGGTGTCACTCCCTGATGTCAAGCCCCTGCTAAGGGGCCCAGAGCATTGGCGCGGGCAAATTTTCCAAACCTCATCTCCAGCCCTTCCTTCCGAGTCTCTTAGTCAGAAGCTCTGCTGAAGCCTGTCTGCCACAGGGGACCCTGCTTGTCTTTGAAACACCAGCAGCACAGCCTCCAGCCCCACAGCAACATGGAGTCACCACAAAGGGACAGACTGACAGCTGTGACATGAACTCAGACCAGCAGTCGTGAGCAGACAGGGCCAGGCTGTGCTCTGTGGTAGGTGAGGTCGCAGGGAGACGCGGGCTCTGCATCAGAGGGGCTGCTGAGTGCCGGCTATGCAC